TTTTATGAAACTAGACAATTCTATTTATAACAAAAAGATGCAAGTTTTAAACTAATATAATTCGGTTCTTATGAAAAGATACAACCTTTCAACAATTTTTTTTTTATAAAAAATACACAATTATTTTTATAATGAAAGATGCAACTTTTAAACTAATATATTTCAGTTTATTATGAAAAGATACAATTTTTCAACCATTGTTTTGTTTTTCATGCAATTGTCCTAAGAAATGTTTTTTAGACATACGATATTTATGGCATTAACATATTTTTTTTCAAACAACACATCTTTTTACATGAAAGAGTCATACTTTTTCATATTTGAAGGATTACAATCTTTGGTTATAATTGTTTTTTTTTTCTTCTATTGGTCTTAATATTTTTTTATACTTAAATTAAAATTGCTATGAGCAGTTATTTTTTTTCAAACAACACACCTCTTTAATTTGAAGAGTCATACTTTTCCCTAATTCTTGATTTTATAAATGTTTTTTGAAGAGTTTCAGTCTCGTGGTTGTAATTATTATGGTTCTATCTAATGGTCCTGAAAATGTATTTGGTTGAACTTTTTTTTCCTCGCAACTCTTGAAAATATTCATTTTAAAACAAAACACAACTCTTGATAATCTATCAATGTACCTTTTCAGATTACTATAAATAGAATGTTTTACAGATGCAATTTTTAAGAAGATTTATGTGTTTTTTTTTCTAATATAGGTATGATTCTTAGTACTCTTGAATATAATGTTTGATTCATTATATAGTTTTAAACGATCTTTAAAAATTTAATGTGGTGTCTGCAAAAATAATTTAATAGGTTTAGTTTAAGCGAAATTAAACTACCATATCCAAACCAATCTGGCTGTAAGAAAACAACCTATTTTTTTTGTAATCTCTTATTCTTCTTCTGATAAAGTCCATTTTTTTTGTTTTTCTAACCCAGTTTGTATGGAGGTACTGAGCGTCATAGATTTAAAAATGTCGTTCTTTGCATGTTAATTACAGTGTATTAAAAGATATTATATTATTTAGTTAAAAGGTTTAAACTGTTCCGTCATTTCAACAAATTTAAAAGTTTGTCTTCTCATATATAAAAAGATAAAAGAAAATGACTGCGACTTTAATATTAAAGTTTACTTAATATTGTTATGCTAAACACATAACATTTAAATTTATACATTTTCAAACACATATTATACTTTCACTCTTCTATTATATAAGATTATTTTTTAAGTATTGATTTTCGTACAAAANTAAAGTTTACTTAATATTGTTATGCTAAACACATAACATTTAAATTTATACATTTTCAAACACATATTATACTTTCACTCTTCTATTATATAAGATTATTTTTTAAGTATTGATTTTCGTACAAAATAATTAGTTTATTAAATGATTCAAAATGATTGACTAACAAATATAAATTATATAAAAATTACTTTAAAAAAAAACATCTTTTCTCCCGCGCGTTTACGCGCGGGGTGGTTTCCTAGTATTATATAACAGAGGACATGTGTATCGGTGAGATAGGTTTTTTTTGTTATTGAGCTAATTATAATTTTTTTTAAGGCTATACCGCCCAATTTCCCTATAATATAAACGGGATTGGAATCTCGGAAGGAAGTGTAGGCACATGCATATTTTATGATAATAACTTTTTACTAGATTTTGACCCGCGCAACCGCGCGGTGTTTGTTTTCGTTTATAGTTAGATGTATGAACATTTTGTTTTCACTTATAAATTGATATATATTATACTAATCACATATTTACGATATGTATAGTAAATGTTTTTCAAACATAATAATATTATATAATACATGTTTTAATCAAATAGATTGTTTCAATTTTTCTATATTATACATGTTTTTCAAACATGTGTTTGTTTTTTCTTCTATATTTTATTGTTTGTTAGATTAGTATTTCATTTTTAGATAAAGTAATATAAATAGAGTTTGATTAAATATTAGTATACTTTAATTTGCAAAGATAATATAAACTTCAAAATTTATTTTGCTAAAAACTATACTTATAGCTTCACAAATTAATATTATAAAGAATTTTATTAAAAAGGAATTTTTAAACAATTTTTTTTAAAATAATATAATTTTTAAAATTTACATCGAAATAAATTTATCTAGTATATATAGCGTATAAATTTTGTTAGTGATATAAATATTCCATATTACGAATCTGTGATTTTTGTTAATATATTGTCGATGCATTTAACTATTATTGACATATATACTTATAAATAATAGAAGATTTCTAAACTTATATATATTGACATATTTTGCGTGACTAAATTGGAAGGTGTGGGGGTAATTACCAAAACCAAATTGTTAAGCGTATCTTTGTTATTATAGATATGATTTTTCATAAGATATAATAATGATAAGATTATTAGAAGGTTAATGTAACATGATTTTCTAGTAATAGTTATTTTTTGAAATATCACATAGCCGCCTGTGTTTTTAGTTTTTCTTCTATTTCTTTCTTTTTATTGTTTTTTTTTATTTTGATCAGAACATCATCATCGATGTCTGTATCTTCTTCTACCTTGGTGCTGGGGGGAAATACCTATACAAGGGTTGCCTTCACCAATCCAATCTTTTTAAAAGTGGGATCATGTAAACATATTATAATATCTCACTTTCAGCTTTTGAAGTCGTCTGTATTAGTGATCTGAGGTGTAGGGCTTGGTTCACTTGCATGGTTGTATCATGAAGCTTGTGGTGTTCGTATGGTTTCAGACTGATCATGATGTTGTAGAACTCAACAACTTGCATAGGCAGGTACGATTTGCTTTAGATGTTTATCATTGAGCAGGTTTTAAGTAACCCATAGACTGATAAAGTTGCATCCTGTGCAGGTAATCAAATATTAGAAAGTTGAATCTCAAAGCGAAGCACGAGGAGAAAATGCTTAGATTCAGTTCTTGTTGACCCTCTTAGTCAGAGTATCATCTCTTCTCTTTTATTATGTGTTACTTCCGTTTATGAACTTAACTGGCTCATCCAATAAAGTTTTTGTAACCTCAGACTTGGGTTTCCATTTGTATTTTGTTTCATTAAGTTCTTTCTACAATTTCAGTTATCATTGCAGCAACATATTTCAAGAACACTAAAGTCCAACCACATTTGTTTCTACAATTTCAGTTATCATTGCAGCCACATATTTCAAGAACACTAAAGTCCAACCACAGTTGTCAGTAATGGTCGTATAGACTTGAAATAAGAATGATCCAAGTGGTCTGAAACCAGAACAGCTAATGTCTTTTGTCTTTTAGAGCATTATGTTATCTCCAATAATTTTTAGCCTAAAACTCATCCTCAGCCTCAGCTTTACTGAGATTTTTCTAGCTTTCAGTCACCATGGGAAATTGTGGGTCTTTTCAAATTTCCTTGTGATGAAACTCTGTTGTTTCTAAAGCACTTCTTCATCTCTAGTTTTGCTGTTGCTTACCGAATTTTTATTCACTTGATTTATTATCACCATGGGAAGTTGTTTTTCTATCCAACTTTCTGGTGATATTGGCCAGTCGCTGGATCGTATCTTTAGATGCTTATTTAGTAGAGATTATATTGGAAACCTTAAGGAGAACCTCAAGGATCTGGAGAGGGAAATGAAAGATCTCATAGCAATTAAAGATGAGGTTATGAACAAAGTTAAGAGGGAGGAAAGGCTACTACATAAACAAATGCGTCCAACTGTCAGGGAATGGCTTACACGTGTGGAGGACGTCCATACACGGTTCACTAATCTGGTTAGTACTAGTACCGCTCAGCTTCAAAGTCTGTTTCTTTGTGGTTTATGCTCAACAAATATACGTTCTAGCTACAATTATGGGGAAAGTGTATTCTTGTTGTTGGAAGAGGTTAAGAAACTCAAATCAGATGGTGATTTTAAAGAGGTTACTGAGTTGATTCCACTACCTGAATTTGTGGAGAGACCTACACGGCCTACGGTTGGTCAGGAGGCCATGCTGGAGAAGGCATGGAAACGACTAATGGAAGATGGAGTCGGAATCATGGGTCTGCACGGTATGGGTGGTGTTGGGAAAACTACCCTTTTCAAGAAAATCCACAATAAGTTTGCTGAAATAGCTGGAAAGTTTGACATTGTGATATGGATTGTGGTGTCTCAAGGTGCAAATATTTCAAAGCTTCAAGAAGATATTGCAAAGAAGCTAAACCTTAGTGGCTCTGAATGGACTAACGAAAATGAAAGTGATAAAGCCGCAGAGATGCACAGATGTTTAAAAAGGAAGAGATTTGTGCTGATGCTCGATGATATATGGGAGAAAGTGGATTTAGAAGCCATTGGAGTTCCGGAACCGACTAAAGAAAATGGATGCAAAGTGGCATTTACCACCCGTTCTGAGGAAGTATGTGTGAGGATGGGGGATCATGAACCGATGCAAGTCAAGTGTTTGAACAAAGATCAAGCATGGGAATTGTTTAAACGCAAGATTGGAGATGAAAAGTTAAGAAGAGAGCCCCGCATTGACCGCCTCGCTAGAAAGGTTGCTGATAAATGTGATGGTCTGCCACTAGCACTCACTGTCATTGGCGAGACAATGGCATCAAAAACTATAGTACAAGAATGGGAGAATGCAGTCAATGTTTTGACTAGAAACGCTACAAAATTTTATGACATGGAAAATAAAATTCTTCCAATTCTGAAGTTCAGCTACGATAACTTGAAATATGAACATATCAAGTCATGTTTCGTCTATTGTGCTCTGTTTCCAGAAGATGATCCAATAGACAAAGAAGGGTTGATAGAATACTGGATATGCGAAGGATTCGTCGGGGAGAACCAAGATTTAAGAACAGCAATGAATGAGGGTTATGATGTAATCGGTATCCTTCTCCGTGCAAATTTACTGACAGAAGTTGATACAGATACTGTAGTGATGCATGACGTAGTTCGTGAGATGGCTCTTTGGATCGCATCCGATTTGGGGGAAAACAAAGAGAATTTTGTTGTTCAAGCAGGAGTCGGATTACACCAAGTACCAAAAGTCAAAAATTGGGGAGCTGTGAGGAGGATGTCATTAATGGGTAATAATATCAAAGAGATGAGTTGCGGTTCCAAGTGTTCTGAACTTACAACTCTGCTCCTCCAAGATAATTCGTTGGATTATCTCTCAGGTGAAATAATCCAATATATGCAAAATCTAGTTGTTTTGGATCTATCAAATAACCTCAACATCAAGGAACTTCCAGAGCAGATATCGCAGCTGACCTCCTTGCAGTATATTGACTTGTCCCAAACAAGTATAGAGCAATTGCCTTTTGGTTTCCAAGAGCTGAAAAAGCTAACTCACCTGAATTTGACTAGTACAGAGTTACTTCGTAGTATTAGTGGGATATTGAAATTGTCAAGTTTAATGAGTTTGAAACTACTTCATTCTAATGTTCATGGAGATGCTAGCTTAGTGAAGGAGCTGCAGCTCTTGGAGCATCTACAATTTCTAAGCATATGTATATCTATGGAGTCCGGTTTGGAGCAAATATTAGGCGATCAAAGGTTGGTGAACTGCATCTATCATCTGCATATTCACGAATTTCAACAAAAGCCATTCAATCTGTCGTCACTGGTGAGCATGGAGAATCTTCAAGTGGTCTGGTTAACAAGTATTCATGTCTCCGATTTGCACAATCCAACACGTCCATGCTTTACCAACCTCTCCAACGTATGTATATCTAGCTGCAGAGGCATTAAGGATCTGACTTGGCTATTGTTTGCTCCAAATCTTGTCAATTTGAACATTGAAAATTCAGGTGAACTAGAAGAAGTTATAAACAAAGAGAAAGCAACAAAGGTTATAGGTATTTCATCACCCTTTGAGAAACTAGAAGTGTTAAACTTGTACGCGTTGCCTAGACTGGAGAGTATCTACTGGAGTCCTCTTCCCTTTCCATTTTTGACGCGCATAGTGATAGAAAAATGTCTAAAGCTGAGAAAGCTTCCCTTAAATGCTGCAAGTGTCTCACGAGTTGACGAGCTTTCAATATTGATTGAAAAACAAACTGAGCTTAAATGGGAGGATGAAGATACCAAAAATCGTTTCTTACCTGTAGTCGTTAAGGTAACTATTTCACTTATTCTCTTTCCGCTCTAGGTTATCCATTTGCTTTCAGAATATGTTGTGCCTAAAATTTCAATCCGTTCTAACTAATGTCACTAACTTTGTTTATGTTTCTGTTTTTCTTTGTTTTTGTTTTTGGTATTCTTTAGCGCTAAAACATCCTTTACTCTGGACTGGGATTGAGAATCCACGCTGCTTCTTCTTCTTATGTTTTCTTTTTCAATCCCTTACTCTGGACTGGGAGTCCTCACTCTATCTTACGACATGTGGAGTGTTTTGTATCATTGAATTTTCCTTGGCATGCTTATCTTTGTATCATTGTTTTTGGGGTTTCTTTACATACTTATCTCTGTGGAGTGTGTTGTGTTTTACGTAATATGGATTGTATCTTTTTCAAAACAATGGTTTATGCTTTTAGGAAAAAAGAACTTTTACAGAGGATTTCTATTTTGGATTACGATCAAACTAAAAATCCACGCTTCAATATGTAAAAACAACTCAACACCCCTGAATTCACCAAGCTCCATGCATGAGCAACTGAAGAACCAAACCCTGATCTGTCCCAAATTGAAACATCCTATCTCACTGGTTTCTGAAAACATGATGTCTCACTGGTTGCTTTCTCCACAGCTTTGACAAACTCCTTCATCGTCTGCACTGTTTTATGTACATTTACTGTTCCTTTCTTGTACTATTTTGGAGCGTATCACATTTTATTTCATCTTTGTGTATAGGTCTGTAAGCGTCTCCTTGGAAATATGCTTTTGAAGCTTGTGGCACGTGGCAGAACAAAGGTTAAATTCCGTTCATCTGTTATCTTGATGACATACCTTCTCTCACACGTATCGGAAAGTAAAAAAAAAATTGAGAAAATATAGGTTACAAATCTGCCAAATTTGCTTTGCAGAGTTGCAAAAGGTTCAGAAGATTCTCACAGTACTCACCAGGTATAATAAAAATCTTTGAAAACATCTAAAACTTAGTTCTGAATCATTAGTGTCTTTGATAAAAAAAAAAAGAATCATTAGCGTCAAGTTCTTAACGATGGAGAGTATTGCAACTGCTGATTGGTCAGATATTATTGACGAACTACATTCTCAAGTTTGAGCCAATACCTAGAAGAACAAGTCTTCGGATCCTTTACACGATCCCATAAAATGTCTAAAACACAGAAACAACAATCGTATACAAGCGGGAAGCTTTCCAAACTCTGTTTGGCATTGTCTCGGTGAAAGTTATGATGACCATAAGAATGATGACAAGTAAATCGTATACAAAACGAGATCTACTGGGTCACTTCCACACAGAGTGGTTTAGATCTCACCATCCCACATTTCTTCTAGAGATTTAATGGGACCTTTCTTGGAGATGTAAACCTCCCCACCAACGATTCTGGACTGAGGAATCTCTGTGGAGATTCTATGCATCTCTTCCTTAGTCAAAGACCAATCGAATATCTTGAGATTCTCCTCTAATCTTTCTTTCGTAAAGCTCTTCACTACCATGCTCACTCCTTCCTCGTACGCCCATCTCATACTCACCTGCCAACCAACAAATGTAATTCATCTTTTTAAACAATCTCGATTACAAAAGAAAATGAAAAATGCTTGTCGTTTTTTCACTTATCTGATTATGTTTCATGATGTTGGTCCATGGTTACATCTAATGCTTTTGTTTGTGAAGATTCTAGGGACAAATGGTGCTAAACGATCTTTGAGAGTATAGTACCTGTGCAACTGTTTTTCCCTTGGCATCAGCAATTTCTTTAAGAACATCAGACTCCATGATTTTGTGAGTTCCCCAAAAGGCTCCTCTTGATCCCAACACCGAGTAAGCCGTCAAAACAATGCCCTTCGACTTACAAAGCTCCTTTAGTTTCTTCTGTTGCCATACAGGACTCATCTCCACCTTCCTCACACATAAACAATATATATATTTTTTTGAAACACACATAAACAATATATATATATCCAATTATTTCAGCTAATCCGATCTATTCTACCAACAAAAGAACAGCTTAGTTCTTGAGGATGGAGAAGGTGGATTTACTTGATTGACACAAGGCGGGATTGTGGCGATAGAAAGGATGTGTTGAAGCTTCTTGCACGAAAAGTTGCTCACTCCTATACACTTTGCAAGCCCAAGTCTCTTGCATTCCTCCATTTCAGACCAGACTGCTTCATAATCCATTGGCAGAAAATCATCTTCTTCAATGGGGAACTTGTACTTTCCCGGTTTCGAACTAACCGGCCAATGAATCAGGTAAAGATCAAGATAGTCCAGCTTAAGGTTTCTGCAAAAAAAAAAAAACAGACATTATAAAGTAAAATTAGTGACAAAAGCTTCCAAGCTAAAAGACTATGTTACTCCAACACCTATTCAAACCAACCATGAAGCGTGTAGTTATTTTTTTTTTTACTTTTAACTTAATAACAAGACAAGAAAAAAGGTGAACGCAAAAACAAAACGACAAGCTGCTTAAGGTTTCTGCAAAAAAAAAAAAAAAACATACATTATAAAGTAAAATTAGAGACAAGCTCCCAAGCTAAAGACTATGTTACTCCAACACCTATTCAAACCAACCATGAAGCGCGTAGTTCTTTTCTTTTACTTAACTTAATAACAAGACAAGAGAAAAAGGTGAACAAAACTAAAAGACAAGACAAGAAAAGTCTCAGACAGTATGAGATAATAAGTACTTCAAGTCCTCTAAACTCTAAAGATTCTAAAAGCTTGTCCATGAATAAAAAAGAAAAGGAGCTTTAAAATCTTACTTTAAACTCCGTTGAATCGCTGGTACAACAAGGCCACCGTGAGCATCGGCGCACCAGAGTTTGGAAGTGACGAAGAGTTCGGATCGAGATCCGACCAAGCCGAGAGAAACCGCCTCAGCTAGAGCTTCGCCGAGAGGCTCCTCCGTGAGATACCTTGGAGATGTGTCGAAGTGGCGATAACCGAGCTTGATGGCGTCGAGGACCGTCTGTTTCAGCAACAATGGTTCCGGCGGTGGAGATGCGGCGGTTCCGAAACCTATAACTGGCATCAGGTGGTGATCAGATCCGATTGTGAGGTTGGGGACTGTCATCAGAGACATTAGTTTGAAAAAGTCAACGGAAGTTTGCTCCAATAGAATCGTTGGTCAATGGCCTAAAGCTTTACTCAGTAGCCACCATGACTGATGCTCATTTTAGAGCATTAATTGGTTAGAACGTCAAAAAATATTAATATATGAAATATTGTATCAGATAATTTAAGATTTTTTATGAACAAATGAAAAAGAAGGGGCAAATTATTAGGCGAATCAAAAAAAAATTTCTTATGAGAACCTCTTTCATTCTTTTTTTTAACTTTTTAGTATATTTTTATTGAGAAAGATTCCAATCTTTTTAAATTTTAACAAAAATATAATACATTAATTCGACCATAATTTGTTGTAAATTTATGCAACTTTAGGTAAGATGAGTGTATTAGGTATTCATAACTTTATTTCATTTGAAAAAGTATTTAGTGTGATGAACAAAAAAATAAAGGTATTTATATAAAATGACAACCATGTGTTATTTCTTTTTCAACAAATGAAAAAGATATATCATTTTTAATTAAAAGTGAATTATATATCACTTTACGTAAAGAAGAAATGTCTATTATTGGCTTACTGCAACTACTCATAATAACTGATTCATCATTTTGAATTATCCAGCATTTAAATACTGATTATGATATACCACTAATATATAACCATTCGCCGACAATTATAAAGTCAATATATATGTGTGCAGAGTAACATGCTTTGATTTCAACAACTTGTCAGAGGTTACCAAATTTTACCACACCGTGTGGAAAATGAAGCAAGTGTAGCATTATAAACACCCCGACGTCGTTTCACCTCTCCATCTCCATTTTATTTTCCTTCAAAATGAGATTTCTACAGCTGCTAACGCTTCTCAGCCTCCTCCTCCTCGTCATAGTGCCCCCAACCTCAGCGACATTCTACACCAACGTCTCTTCCATACCACCGTCACACCTCCTAAACGCCACCCGAAGCGCGTGGGAAACATTCTCAAAACTCGCCGGTTGCCACGTCGGAGACAAAGCCGAAGGCCTCTCGAAACTCAAACAATACTTCCGCCGTTTCGGCTACATCTCCTCCTCCGTCGCCGATAACAACTTCACCGACGACTTCGACGACGTCCTCAAATCCGCCATCACCACTTACCAAAACAACTTCAACCTCAAATCCACCGGAAAACTCGACGCGCCGACTCTCCAACAAATCGTCAAACCGAGATGCGGCAACCCGGACATAATCTCCGATATGAACGCCGGGAAGAAGCTCCGCACGGTGGCGCGTTACTCGTTCTTCCCGGGGAAGCCGAAATGGCCGAAAAAGAATCGAGAACTTACCTACGCGTTCGTCCCACGTAACAACCTAACGGAAGAAGTGAAAAACGTTTTCGCACGCGCGTTCACGCGCTGGGCGGACGTTACTCCCTTAAACTTCACGCGCTCCGAGTCGGTCGTTGGCGCGGATATAGTGATAGGTTTTTTCGCGGGAGAGCACGGAGACGGAGAGCCGTTCGATGGACCAATGGGAACGCTTGCGCACGCGTCGTCTCCTCCCACGGGGATGTTTCATTTGGACGGGGAAGAGGATTGGCTGATCTCGGGGGAAGATGTGAACCGGAGGAAGATATTGCCGGTGACGTCGGTGGTGGATTTGGAGTCGGTTGCTGTTCATGAGATTGGGCATCTTCTTGGGTTGGGTCACTCGTCGGTGGAGGATGCGATTATGTATCCGGCGATTGCTGGTGGAGATAGGAAAGTGGAGTTGGCGAAGGATGATATTGAGGGGATACAGCGTCTGTATGGAGACGGTAGTTCTGGACGGAGAAGTGAGACTAGCGGTGGAGATGAGTTCGGGGGTGGGTTGGTGTTTAGGTTATCGTTGATTGTCACGTGTATGCTTTTGGTTTGTTGGTAGCGTTTTGACTGGGTGGGATCTTTCGTGAGTTTCTCAAATTTAAATGCGGATACACACAATCTTTATGTTTAGTCATGAATATCTTATTGAAGATTCTTTTGGTGAAATTTTCTAATACTTTAAAAACTTTGTTGATACACAGTTACACATCAATCTAATATTGTTCCTTTATTTGGCAATAATTCCTTTATTTGACGAGATATAATCTCTTTCCATAACTCTTGAATATCCGTTCTGTAGTGAGACGAAACTGTACGAATACCGAGTCCCAGGATATAACCAAGGCGATGAATCACGCTTCACTCGTGAAACACCCTAATGAACTAAATAATTACGAAACACTCTCTGGGAACTTACATTGAGAGATTGCTAGATTTTGTGTGAAAAAAAACTTTCCTCATAAAGAAGAGGAGAGACGATATTTAAAGAGAAGACGAGGAGCAACTTCCCGTAACGTGTGCTCGTTAGTGGGGATTTGGCAAATATCTCAAGAAGTTTAAGTTACAAAAACTTATCCCCCAAGACTCGCTCTCACTCGTTTATTAAAATATCTGGCGAAGAATAAACAACGTGACGTTTTTTTATTTGTTAAACCAACTACTTGTCGTTTTTAAATAAAATTATATGCTATTTTTTGAAGTTTGAATGGCAAAATGTTAGGCTTAATTTGGTCAAAAAAATAACTTTTTATCGGGTCAATGACCCTCCACCCGAAGGTCCAAACCCATAGATTTCCAAACCCAGTTGACTATCTTTTGAGCTGGTCTAGAAGTAAACTAGAAGAATCGTTTTAGTAGAAAAAAATCATGTAATTGATGTATGGGATTTACCAGGTGAATGAAATCTCGAGTAACGATGGCAAGAATATCAGAGCAAGAGACACGAGAAGGGCAATGCAACTCAACCAATGCCTTTGCCTTGATGATACTCTCAAATCCTTCTTCTCTTAATTCTTTATTCTCTTCTGCTTCCCTTTCGGCTAAATTCTTGCTTCCCTTCTTTGTAGTATTCTTATAAATAAATATGGTTACATTTTTTTTTTTTAGGTATTCCTATTTTATTTGAAGTAACTTATTTATATACACAATTTAAAAAAAAAATTACTAGATTTATATTCATTTAACGGATTTGTTTCTGAAAGTATAGGACTTACTTAAGAATAATTTTGGCAAATTATAATATATTAGCATAATTAAATTAATTAATTTTATTATTCTTTTTGATATTTTGTTAAAAGGTCAGATTATGATATAAATATGTAAAGACTGTCCAATTTATTATATTATCTAAAAGCATGATTTGTAGAGATTGTAACTTTATTTTCTTGGTTCAAAATATAGGTTGTAAGTTTTTTTGTTTTAGATTTGAATTTATATTATAAATTTAAAATTATTAAATATAAAGTTTTAGAAAAACATATTTCCAAAAAAATATGTTATCTATTCTAATTTTAGTCTGTAGATTTAAATTAATTTGAAATTAATATGAATGTGAAAAAAACAAAAGCAAGGGTATTATAAATAGCTTCTTACCGAAGAAGAAAAAAAAAAAGCGACCTGCATTCTTCCTAAGAGCAACATTATTAGAGGGACAAGGAAAAATCCCTTAAGATTTTTTTTTTTTTTAGGGTCAGTTTTTCTTAAGGGACAACCTTTATATAAGGGTTTTTCCCTTCTTTTCTCTCTCGGTCTCCGTGCTTTTATCTTAAGGGTCTCCCTATAATGTTGTTCTAAGACCATATGCAACAATGGTTCTTAACACAAATCCTTAAGAAAAAGATTTATATAATATTATGTAGGCTCCACTTCAATCATGTTTTTGTGCCAACAAAAACTCTTAAACTCCTTAGCTAAGGATTAGATTTGTTGAACCTCTTAACTATTTATGGGCTCCACTTAAATAATCTGAAAATGTGACTGGTCAGTTCTTTTTTCTTTTTCTTTTTTTTTTTAAATCTGAAAAAAATAAAATAAAATAATCATAACTACTATTTTTAAAGATTTGTGCCTTGAGTACATGGTTGCTGATGCCCTAAGTCTCTAAAAACAAAAGTATCGGTATTCTCCATGAAAAGATCTGAATCTTCTCAGTTTACTGTTTCGTACAAGGTGAGTGTTTCTTTATATTTTTCTATGTACACGAAAAACACTTGACATGAATTTATTCGATGTATATTGGACACATAGTTAAAATTAAATATTCTGTAGTTTTAAAACAAATATGTAGAGCCTGTGATTGATTAAATAAAAGAAATTAATAAATTAATAATAAGTGAAATAATAAAAATGAAATACATAAAAAATATAATAAAATTTATCCATTCATTAAATTTGTTATGGAGCAAATTTTGTTTTGTGTGTGTATGTAATTATTTTTGGGATTGGTAGAATGACTATTCCATTCTACTAAAGTAATTAATCACATAAAAATGATAATCCAGTGTGCTTTGCTCTATGAACGGTTGTTCAGATTCAGAATAATAATATTTGTGGGTCCCGTTCGATTAAGCGTTTCCACTTTTTTTTCTGTCAAGATTTTATTGAATCGGGTCCACACCAGAAACCGAATTGAATCCCAACAAACTACAATGCATAAAGCCCAAATACAAACGGGCCAAAGAAAATAAAACTAAATGGACCTGTGGCACCAAACGATAGAAACCAGACGGCTCCATGCAAGTTCACGCGTCAAGGAGACCAGACACATGTTAAGATCTCCACCATCGGAGCGACACGCGTCACTTCCACCTCAACTTGACCGCTACCGCCTTGAGACGCCGCCGGAGCAAACCACCATAACACTCATTACGTCAGAACTCATATAACCAGAGAGCCTCCACCGAATCCATCTCTTTTTTTCCACGCTTCGTCTTCACATCGGAGAGCCTCATCGAATGATTCAAAATCTCATCCAACAGAGCAAAGCTGCGAGCAAATAGCTGAAAATCACACCAGATCCACAATCGGAGCCCAAACCTTATCCAAATAAATTGAATCACATAAAACCGGCGACGAAAGACTATGAGAACCTTTACCTTCTGGAGATAAAAGCCGACGATGGCAGAACTAAAGAAACTTCCACTTCCCAGAGACAAGGACCAGCAGCAACGGAGTTGTAAGAACCTCCACCTCCCAGAATAAAAATTTAAACTAGCAAGACGACTTAACCGCATCTCACCTTCTACCCGGCCGCGCCTTTATTCCATAAGCAAAACTTCCATTGATGTCAGTTTACTCTCCAAATTAACGACAACAAATGGAGACTGGGATAGAGCCCGGACAAGGCGGTAAGACAGAGGAGACAATGGAAAAACCAGAGTTAATTAACTATAACAGAGACGAAGAGCTTTGGTGACAACACTTACGCTCACGCGCCAACCGTCCGTTAGACCCAAACTTATATCTACTTTCTCTCACTAATTTTCTCTCTCTTAGGGATAATATTTTGCAGGCGTTTCCACTTAAGTTGAGAGTTTTTCAAAAGACCTTAATTTCTCTAACCACTATTTTACCAGAAAAGCTATTTTCTTTAACCTACAAAAATAAATATTTGTGTTTTACATTTCTCTTTCCGAAAAAACTTCATTTACTCTTAACGCCATAGATACCAACCACTATTTTGTTGTAAATTTTATATTTCACCGCCGCGCCTGATACTTACTCGCCTCAAGAAACGGAGCAGCCGGAACTCACAGTTGAGGAGCACCTTCCAGACTTCAGATCGGATAAAAACACTCATTTTAACCATGCGTGATATTTATGTAAGAGAGTAAGTATGGTAGGAGAGATATGAGGATGTTTCTGAGAGGAAGAGAGCGTACCTATATATATACAAGCGATTTCACCGACTCTGAGAAGATGATGACATATCGATCTCAAGATTGTTGGTGAGGAGTTAATGAATGATAAATGTCTGGAGAGAAGTAATGAGAAACGTACGCCATGGAAATCCAAAGAGTTCTACCGCAGATGGTCTAAGAAGGCGGCGGTGAAGAAAGTATAAAATGAACCCTAATTGTTAATTGTGGAAAACTGGTTTACTGCGACAGGGCCGCTTGTGGTGTTACAAAAATAAAAAAAAACGAAACCGTTTTTAATTTAAGCGAGGAAGAAACGCAGCGTATCAGAAATTGGGGCCCTAGAGTGAAAAAACTGTACTTTATAATAGATAGATAGATAACCTTTAAATCACTTAAGTATCAATTTAAAAAAAAAAATCACTAAGTATAAAGTCCGGAACCACGTCTGAACCACGTATAAGTGGCTCTCCCACCGTCAATTTGTGTTCAAGCCGCGGCTTCCAATCAATTCTCCCTGGTGGTGGTCCCGATTAATCCCAAAAAACAGAATCTGCGTGTTATGATCACCCAACTGCCCCGTCAATGGGGTGTTCAGGCGACGGGTCGCATAATTGATGTTAATCGCCTCCAATTCATTTTCCAATCAGAAGAAGCCCTCCTAATGGTCACACGGCGGGCTCCTTGGTCTTTTGCGGAGTGGATGCTCTCTGTCCACCGTTGGTTTCCAAATATTGGGGATGATGACCTCAAGATCATCCCTTTCTGGGTTCAAATACGGGGTATTCCTCTTCAATTCCTCACTCGTCCGATGATAGAATATATTGGTGGTATTCTGGCTCCAGTGTTTGATGTGGATTTTGATGAAAATTCAACAAGAGTTGAATTTGTTCGTGTTCAACTACTCTGGAGTGTCGACAAGCCATTGCGTTTCCAGCGTAATTTTCAATTCTCTCAAGATGTCAACACTCTGCTCTCTTTTCAATATGAACGTCTCCGTGGTTTCTGCCAGACCTGTGGCTTTCTGACTCATGATAAGTATGAGTGTCCTTTGGGATATGATGCTAATGATCAGCCGCCTGAGGGATCTGAGGATGGTGAAGATGATAACAACAATGATGATGGTGGAGATGGTAATTTGGGTAGTCTTGTAAAGGAACCTATGGTTTCAGGTGTCTCGTCTACACAGGCCAATGAGACATTATCTGTTGTCAGCCAGTCTGAGGATTCCAACAATCAGGAGCAACAAGGAACTAAAAGGAAACGTGAAGTAAGGGAAGAGTATGGTTCTGTTACTGCTGAGCAAGAACTGGTAGACATGAGTGAGCAACTTCCTCTGGAGTTTTGGAAGACGGCTCCGATGGCAGAACTTCGCGCTGAGTTTGAACGTCGAATGGGGCATGTTCGTACAGCCAGAAAGTATAATTTTGTTGAGCAACTTCTCTCACAAGATTCTGATCCCACCTTTCGCCACGAGCATTCTTACTTTATGGATGTGGAGGGTACTGTTGAAGATGATTCTGATCATATTATTCTGGAAATGGAGGAAAGAAGGGGAGCGGGTTCCGTTTATGATTATTTTGGTCAAGCTAATAATCTACTCAACCCTGAGACTCCGCGATATCAGTCTGGACCTGTTGACGGTGAGTTACTACATGACACAGTTTCTCACGAGATTGGTATAGTGGATAAGTTCTTGTCTGGTACGCCAATTATATCCTCTGAGTATACTGCTCTACTAAAGATAAATGAAGATTATGGTTCAGAGGATAGTCAGATGGAGGATACTAACCCAATAGACAGAGGCGCGGTGGGCCCGGTACCACCACCAGTCCCATGAGAGTTCAGGTTTGGAACTGTAGGGGTTTAGGACAACGCCTTACAGTTCGACGTCTTAAGGAAATGCAACGGCTGTATTTCCCTGACATGTTGTTCTTAATAGAAACTAAGCAAAAGAATGATTTCGTCCGAGACATTGGCGTCTATTTGGGGTATACAAAGATGGTTCTCGTACCTCCAGATGGTCTAAGTGGTGGTTTAGTTGTATTTTGGAAAGATTCTGTTTCTGTTTCATGTATTTCCAGTAATTCAAGACTTATTGACCTGCATGTTGAATATAAATCCTTTCAGTTTTACTTGTCATGTGTTTATGGCCATCCTACACCGAAGTTTCGTAATCACCTCTGGGAAAAACTTCAAAGACTCGCAGTTAATAGGGTGGGTCCTTGGATGATTTGTGGAGACTGTAATGAGATAGTCAATCCATCTGAGAAGAAAGGGGGTCGATTACGACAATCAAGTAGCTGTGTTGATTTTAATAACATGCTAAGGGTCTGTGATATGAAGGATGCTCCATTTAAAGGAAATCCTTTCAGTTGGGTTGGTAGAAGAAGGAGAGAGATTGTGGAATGTTGTCTAGACCGAGCTTTTGTTAATTCTGTTTGGACTTCTCAATACCCTTTTACAGAAACAGAATTTTTGGAGCTTGCGGAATCAGATCATAGACCAATGATTATCTCTATTGATCATGCCCCAAGGGTTAAACGAGGATGGTTTAGATATGACAAACGTTTAGCTGATGAGGATGATTTTATTGAAACAATAAGTAATGCTTGGAGCAATACAGAAGTCTTGGATCGTTGGAATAGTAAGCTGGCTTATTGTCGTGGGGAGATCATTAGCTGGAAACGTCGTCATCAAACAAACTCGTCAATCCTTATACAAGAGATTCGAGAAAAAATAGATTCAGCCTTAAGAGACAACTCGGTTTCAGTTGAAGTTATACATGAATATCGTCGTGATCTTAATAAAGCTTACTATGAAGAAGAGGAGTACTGGAGGCTGAAGAGCAGAAATAAATGGCTAAATCTTGGTGATCGGAACTCTAGATTTTTTCATGGATTAACTAAGGCAAAAAGAAGTAGGAATAACATCAAAGGGATGTATGATAAGAATGGAATTCTTCATACCAGGGATGAGGCCATTGCACAAATTGCAGAGGATTATTTTCAGAATATGTTCAATTCTTCTAACACAATGCTAGATAATGATGTCTTACCACATATCTCCAGAAAGGTCACTCCGCAGATGAATCAGTTATTGCTAAAAGATATCACAGATGAGGAAATCCGGAGTGCTCTGTTTATGATTGGTGCTGAAAGGGCCCCTGGTTATGATGGCTTTACTGCGTCTTTCTACCATCAATTCTGGGAGGTCATTGCTCCTGATGTTAGTAATATGGTTAAAGGTTTCTTTATCTCAGGAAAGATGGAACCGAGGATTAACCATACTAACATTTGCTTGATCCCTAAGTTCCCTGAAGCTGCTAACATGTCTGATTTTAGACCTATCAGTTTATGCACAGTTGCTTATAAGCTGATATCTAAGATCATGTGTCAGCGCTTGCAGCAATGTCTTTCATCTATTATCTCTGAATCTCAAGCTGCTTTTGTCCCAGGTCGTCAAATTTCAGACAACATCCTTGTGGCTCATGAGTTAATCACTGCCTTGTCTTCTAAGCAAGATTGTTCTCAAAAATATATTGCTGTGAAAACTGACATTAGTAAAGCTTATGATCGCGATGAATGGTCATTCCTTGAGGGTACTATGCTTCAATTGGGTTTTGCTGAGCGTTGGGTAAGATTAACAATGGAATGTATAAGAACGGTATCTTATTCTGTGTTGATCAATGGTGTTCCTTTTGGAAATATCACACCCTCTCGAGGCCTTCGACAGGGAGATGCTATGTCACCATATTTATTTCTGATCTGTGTTGAAGTTCTAAGTCAAATGATGGACAGAGCTCAATCATTGGGAAATCTTCATGGCATGAAACTAGCTAGACACTGTCCAATGGTATCTCATTTATTATTTGCAGACGACTCATTATTCTTTGTTCGAGCGACAATGGAGGATGTAGAAAGCTTGTCTGCAATTTTTGATCAATATGAATTGATATCAGGTCAAAAGATTAACTATGAGAAGTCATCTATCATATTTGGAAAGAGAATTCCTCAAACCATGTGTCACCAGATTCATCAAACCTTACGAATTTCTTCAGTTGGTGGAGGGGGTAAGTATCTAGGCTTACCTGAACAATTCAGTCGCAGTAAGGTTTCTGACTTCCAGGGTATTATAGCTAAAGTCAAAGATCAGATTTCTCCTTGGTATAATCAGTTTCTGTCACCAGCTGGCAAAGAAGTCCTCATAAAATCAGTACTTCAAGCAAAGCCGGTGTATCCTATGAGTTGCTTCTTACTGCCCAAAACGGTCTGTGAATCTATCAATTCGTTACTCTCAGGTTTTTGGTGGGGGAAGTCTGATGATAAGCGTAAAATATCCTGGATATCTTGGACCCGTCTGTGCCTTCCTAAGAAAGAAGGAGGAATGGGCTTCCGTGACCTACACTCTTTCAACATTGCGCTATTAGCTAAACAAGCTTGGAAAATCCATCATCATCCTCAATCCCTTCTGGCTCGTATCTATAAGGGTAGATATTACAACTCGACGACGTTTCTACAGTCGCCAAGTTTAAAAAATTGCTCTTATGGATGGAAATCCATCCAAGCTGGAAGAGATTTTCTTCGTAAAGGATTGATATCTCAGTTAGGTAATGGTTCTATTACGAGGATTTGGGAAGATCAATGGCTTCATACGTTACCCCCAAGAAAATTGAACTCACCGTGTCTACACCCTAATATGAAAGTTGCAGAGATTATTAATCAGGAAACTATGGAGTGGGATGATGCTAAGCTAACTGAATACTTTCTACCAGAAGATAGTAATATTATTCGAAGTATGAGACTCTCGAGATACAATAATCATGATGTTATGGTTTGGCCGTTCACTCCAAATATGGAGTATACAGTTAAGTCTGGGTATTGGACTGCAACTCATTGCTTGAATGATCAGGATATAATTCTACCACCTCAAGGCTCACTGCAATTAAAGAAAAAGATATGGAGTTTGAATATTCTTCCAAAAATACAGCACTTTCTGTGGAGAGCTCTCTCTGGAGCATTGCCAACTTACACAAGATTGTGCTCTCGCGGTATTAATGTTGATCCAACGTGTCAACGATGTTGTATGGAGGACGAAACAATCAATCATGTTCTCTTCTTATGTCCTCATGCTTATGCTATATGGCGAAGTACAGGTCTTCCGGTCAATACCTTTCAATCCCATGAACTTGAAGATAACATTATTGCTATATTTGTTCTAATGGAGCAGATAGACACGGCTCCAACAGTTGGTACTTTGGCATTTTGGGTAATCTGGTTTGTTTGGAAATCGAGAAATGAGTTCTTATTTAATCATAGGAATGTACATCCTATTGAGGATGCTCATCGGGCTATGATGGCTAATGAAGAGTGGCTACTGAATTGTACAATCCAATCTACTTCAGCTACAAGTAGAGTACTTTCATCTAATTGGGAACCTCCTCCGTCAGGGTGGCTAAAGTGTAATTTTGACTGTAGCTATCGAAAGGAATCAAGTAGTGCTGGTATTGGATGGATTGTAAGAGATGACCAAGGAGCTTTTCAGGGGTGCGGTATGACTATTTTACATAATGTGTTTTCTCCATTACAGGGTGAAGGTTTCGCCTTTCTTTGTGCATTACAGCAAGTTTGGATTCGTGGATGGCGTAAGGTCTGGTTTGAAGGGGACAGTAAAGAACTTGAACGTATTATTAATACTGTAATACCAAATAATGCTCAAGTTGGCTCTGCTTTGCACGACATCAGACATTGGATGATGCTTCTCTCAGATTGTTCTTTAGCATGTGTCAATCGGGAGAAGAATATGGCAGCTGACATATTATCTAAGTATAGTTTTCAGGAGTGTCTTTCTTATAAGTTTTTCACAGTTCCTCCTGAATGGTTGATTCAGTTTATGTACTGGCCATATACAGTATAATTTTAATAAGAATTGTTGTTCAAAAAAAAAAAAAAAGACATTCTTCCCAAAATCCCTAGAGACAAAAGTATCCATCTTCTCAACTTTCAGTCCATGGAGAGATTCGAAAATTCTCATATGATCGCTTTCGTCAACGCCTCGATGAAGATGGAAAGATCCGAAATTTCTTTTCGGGTTTCTGCTTCTCCGTACACGGTGAGTTTGTCTTCTCCGCGCATCTAACGGCGTCGTCACTCAGTTTTGTTTTGTCTCAAAACTTTCTTTCATCTCTTGCTTCTGGCGGTAATCGCTGGTCCGAGAGAAGCCTCCCTCTCGCCGCCTCTCCTTCTTTACTTTTGATTATTGTTCTACCGTTTAAAGGCCTACCGTTTATCTCTTCCCTAACTCAGTGCCTGTTTCTTCGCTATCTCTCTTACCCTTTTTTTTTTGTACTGTTCCGGTCCACGATCTTTTGGGTTTTTCAAATTAATACACGTACATATATATTATTTTTGTAAAGGATTCTAATTACTTTTTTTTTTATAACTATAGGGGAAGAGGACTTTGTACGGTGATAAGTACGTCGGCGTTATGAAGTCGTACTATGATTACGCCAAAAGCAGGTAAATAGATTTCTGTTTTCTTTTTTCTTTTTTTCTTTTTGGAGCTATATTCGTGGGAATATCAAGATTTTGTCCCACCCTGTTATCTTGTTGATGAAGTTCATTGTCGAGAGAATTTTTATTTTTAATTTTTAATTATGATTCTGATGTAAAGACGTGAAGTAATAAAAGATAAATACCTTCACTTTCAAATGTGTTTGCTAACTGATTCTATTGAACATTCAGGATAAGGATCGGGGTTGAAGGGTACAACACTTCCCTTCAACCCATTGATCTCTACCGGGCTCTGGAGAGTCTTTTCAAGACATGTGGAGAAGTCCACAACATCCAGATTCTCCGAGATCCAGTGACAAATGCACTCGAGAGGTCGTGCATTGTTATCCTGCGTGGAGAAGGCGCAGGAGACAAAGCCTTGCAACTCAATGGAAGTGACATTGGAGGAAAAAAGATTGTCGTTACGAGCAGTGCCGTGCCCACCTATTTGGGGGCCTGAGGCAAAATAAAAATTGTATTCAACCAAATGTTAAAAATCTTGCTTATTTAAATTCAATCATATTAACTAAATGTAAAGATAAAGTCTACACTACTAAAAATTATTGCGTAAATACATTGTTACCTATAAACTAAAGATATAACTGAATTACGCATAAGGAAGTTGAATTTATGGGAAATTTAGGTAAAAAACATAGGCTACAATTCATGTAAACATATATTTTAGCTGCTAAACTAAGTAGGATTTTTACAATTAGGGGCCCCAAATAATATTGTGATAATCAGGGGCCTCGGGCATATGCCTTTTTCAATAAGCTATAAACACGGCTCTGGTTACGAGTTTGCCTCCAGGACTCACTGATCTCCGCTCTGGGTTGAGTACTGATGTACTCGCTGCTAGGAGCGTGGCACATCAACGAAGAAAGTGGTAAGTTATTACGTATGCTGTTTGACATTTTTGGCTTATGTAAGTTGTGTAAACGATATAATACAATTGCAATTTTTTTACCCATGCAGTAGCGAAGGCATATCCATTACTGGATATGACATTTCTCGTACTAAAGGTGATTTGAAGAATGCTTTGAGTGATCATTTCTCCACATGTGGTGAGATTACCGACGTTTTTGTTCTCAACAGGTTAGAAGTTAGAACCTTTCTCTAGTTTGTTACAAACCCCAATTCTATTTGTAACCACCTAAGCCTTTTCTTTCTCTTTTGTTGGCAGCCGTGCTCTCGTTTACTTCTACGGACTAGGCTCCAACAACCGAGCGGTTCAGCTGTCTGGAACCGACCTAGGAGGCTGCACACTGGTGGTCAAAGCCTTGCCCTATCTGAAACCCAAATCTAGTGTCTGGACCCGTTTGCGTTACCGTTTCAGGTCAGCTATGTTGGATTAATCTTGAAATAGCTTGAAAAACAAGGTATCCTAATCCCACCTAGATATGGTTTGATTAGGAAAATATCTAAAAGTGTTTTTACTAATGAGATTATAAATTATCTAAGTCTTATATAAGAAGTTGCAAACATGTTGCATCACTTAAGAGTTTTATGTATTAAATATATACACTAGTGTTAAGGTATGCGTTGCATGGGCTAACATATATAAAATATTATACTTCCGTATAAAAAATATGTTACGAATCCTAAATTGTTTTAAAGTTGCATGGAAGGGCCTATAGTAGTACTGTATATCATTAAACTGACTTGTTCCTTGCAGAAGTATACAAGCGGTTAAGTTTTGCTCAGACAAAAAAATTTTTTTTCTCAGAACTATTTAATAAAATGTACATTGGAAACTAACAGAAAAAGACGGCATTGGTGTCAAATTGTATATATACACAACAATAAAACATAGGGGTAACTCAAAACATGTACGAGGCAGAACTGAAGCAAAATATTCTCATGCAATGGGATTATGGTTTGCTTCTCGATAGATGGAGATTATATATGGAGGAAGTTATAGTTTCCAAGTCGATTAGCTTTCCTTATAAAACAAAGTTACACATGTTGTAAAAAAATTTTTGATCTGAATAAATTTAAAATTCATTCCAAGAACGGGGAAACAAAGAACTCCACCGTGCAAGTGTAATCCTATCAAACCCCAAATGTAAGCCATTAACATATATTCACAAACCAAAATTAGTTGGTTTAGACAGAACAAGAAGACATAACTTGGAAGACGAGTTGTACTCAGACTCCCCACGAAAATGATGCGTTTTCTTCATTACCATGCATCCATCAGTGCTTCATTATTGGTAAGTGCAGCTACCCTTCACTGAAAAGAAAAGCAGCAGCATATACAAGGAGCTGAGGAGAGTGTTACAGTGAAGAAACTGCAAATGCAAGTTTAGTTCAAGCTACGGTTACCTTCAAGATGCGTTTGTTTTGTTGGAGAAGAGCATCTATTCCTACAGTGCATGTGGAGTCTAATGAAGGCTGAGTAAAAGACTTGGATGGAGATACAGGGTTAGCTGTTACCACCATGATTGGGTTGTGCCTGATAGTTAGTCATTCCCCACCGATCCTGTTCACAATTATAGTGAAGTGGATTACTATTGTTCGTTCCAAACAAGAAAAATAAATGAGTTCTGATGTGAAATGGTTATGGTACTGCCAATTCCTAGAAAGTGAAAACATAAAGGGATATATAAAATTAAGCTAGCAGAAGCTTATATGTTTGCAACATTTTCCTTGACTGATCTTGAATTGTCAAGAAACATATGACTAAACCCAATACAAAGAATTAAAAAATTATACTGTCCATAGATCCATCACCTAACCTAAGGGCATGATTATCCGGAGTTTTTTAAGACGGGTTTCTTAGGAAAATATAAAAAACTATTTTTTAACATTTAACTAAGAAGTTAAGAAACTACTTTAAACTAGTACTTTAAGAAACAGTTTCTTAATTTTTTAGTTAAAAGTTAAAAAACAGTTTCTTATATTTTCCTAAGAAATCCGCCTTAAAAAATCCTAGATAATCATGGTCTAGCTGGATTTCTTCAATCCTATACTTATTATACACCAATGATACAATAACATGCTAACACACACTGATATGGATCGAACAATCTTGTTGCCAATATTAGGATCCTATCCATTTATGGGAGGATTTCTTCTTTCAGGTATAGCTTCCCTTCCTATTAAATCAACTATAATCCTAACATTATTTCTTCACTCACAAAACAAATCACAAGTACGAAATTACCAAAAAAAGATGATGAAGTTTGTGACCACTTCTCTTGTTCTTGTTTTCATCCTAGTCACAGTTGCTGCTGCTAATGAGATTGAAAGCCCTCCTCGTTGGTGTCTCCCGAAACCGGGAGTTTCACCGGAGAAGCTGCAGAACGTGTTGGATTACATCTGCTCTCGTATCGCATGCCTTCAATCCACTGACCGCTGCTACGCTTCATCCGATCTCCCTGGACGAGCCGGCGTCGTCATGAACATGTACTTCCAGTTTCACGGTCGCACAGACCAGTCCTGCTACTTCGGTGGAGACAACCGATCCCCGCTCCTGAGCATGCGTCTACTACGTCTCAAAACTCTCAACCACTACCTTTATCCCTCCTCCTCAAGTAACAATGCTTCTGATGCTTCTTCTTCTTTTTTTTTTCATTTTAGTTTAGAATCTCCATACGATCCGTCGTATAAATTATGTAATGAATGATTTTATTATATTATTTGGTGTATATAATATATATTACATAGAATTTAAATGTGATTTATAGATATAATAGTACAATCTTTTCAAAAATATATTAAGTGTTGAGAAATATAACGATAATTTCATTGCGAATATAAAACAAACAATATAATTCTAAGTTATTACTTATATAAAATATGTATACATATAAATTATTAATTTATAATTTTAAAGAGACCATAGATTTATATATAGCTTTCTAAAAAAATATTATCTTATTATTTTACTGGTTTTTGTCAAATTTGAACCGGTTCAAGTTGGGACATGCGCAATTTATTAATTTATAGAGATTATTAGTTTATCGAGTATTAATTAATAGAGATTATATTGTATGTTGAATGTTTATTTTAAAACTACAAGCTCTAGTCTAGCAATATATCTAAAATTTTTAAATTTTTATCATAATCTATCTATATATTTTTTTTTAAAAATATTTTTTTTCCTTATTTTTTTCTTAGTATTTTCTTATTTTTATTAGAAAATACTACCTTGGGGGGGGGGTTATTGGGGATAATAATTCTAGAGGAATTATTAAATTTCGAGATTCCATTGTTATTAGTTATGAATTTTTAAAATATAAGTAGAATTCATTATTATTGGGGTGAGAACTTTTAAATTCCACTCAAAATCCTTCATTATTGGAAAAATTTAGTTTTCATTGATTTTAAGATTCTATTAAAATCAATGTTATTGCGAATTAAGATTCTTTGTTTTTACTAATGAAGCTCAACTTTGAGAATATGATCTATACCCATAAAAATTTTGAAATCTATGTAATAAAATACATTCACATACAAAAACACAAAAATTAAAGAATGTAATAAATAACAGAGTGTCAATATGACTGTGTTTAAATTTTGTGAATTAAATAACAGAGAGTGTGTGTTAAAAAAAAGTTATAGTAGTGTGTGTTTAGTAGACATCAACACAACAACTAAATTGTTTTTCTTTTGGGAATAAAATACTTTTGAATGCTTAATCTCTTTCTTAATTTATCATTTATAGCGATAATAACCATCGTTATAATGTCAAGATAATGATTTATGATGTATTATAGGAAACAATATCCGTCTTTATGCATGGTCAAACATATTGAATTGCATACCAAGTTTAATCAGAAAGAGATTGAGACATAGTACTAATTGTTACTGCTTATAAATATACATGTTTGCTTAAATCATGTTTCTGTATTTTATTAAGAAACTAAATAAACCATATTATTCGGATAAATAATTAACACTATTAAAATAATGATACTCATTCATTTCTAAAACAGAATTTATACAAGATTTATTTATATATATTTGATTTATTTTATATTGATAAAATTTATATTTTTATTAAATCAATATATTAATTTATTATATGATTGAACATATCTATAATTTTAAATATAATTTTACATCTGAATTAAATAACATTTATTCTCCAACGTGTTTCTTAAATATAAGATTTTTAAAAATATATATTACTATTACTAACTTCACTAGTTATGTTAATTCTCTTAAATATAAAATTTTAAATTTATCATAAATATGTTAATATAACAAATTTTTTTAGTTATGTTAATTTTAATAAATGATGCTGTATTTTCTGATTTATGATATTGACAAATTACTTTGTATCATTTTTAATTCTTCACATGCATGCAACTTATAAAGGATGATAAATAACATTTCATATTTATTTAAACAATACATATATATATTGATTTATTTTAAAATTATCAAAATTACATATTAAAATGATGTGATATATACATATAGATGATGATATTTATTATTGAGTTTATATACCTTCCTAACAATGTTTTAAACTTATGAAGAAATTAAAAGCTAGATATATTTATATAGTTAAATATATTAATTATATTAAAATTTATAATTGATTTAAGAAATATTAATGGATTAATAGATTTTATAAAGACTACATCAATCGGTTTAATACATTCTTAAAAAATTACTAATTTAAAAGATGCAAAATAGCTGATTCATTAGAAAAATTACTTTAAGTTACATAGGCATCATGAACACCTAAAACTAATTGTTACTCCTTATAAATATAGATGTTTGTTTAAATATTGTATCTGTCATATATATTTGAAAACTCAATATACTATGTTATCCGAATAATAATTAAGATTTTTCAAATCAAGGATACTAATTAATTTCAAAGAAGAATTTTATATGATTTAATTTTATATTAAAAATTACTTATATCTTTTTACTAACTACAAATAGTCGTTTTTAGATATTATATAATTTTATTTTATTAAACTTTTGTAATTTATATACAAAGTGTTAAAATGATATTTAATGACATCTTAATTAAATAGAAAATTTTCTCAAGCTTATCTATAGTAGAAATAAAATATTAACGTATCATAGATAAATTAATATAAATAAATTTATTAGTTATGCTATTTTTAGTAAACGATGCTTTATGTATTGGCTTATCATAAATATATTAACAAACAAAATTTCTTAGTTTCATTATTTTTAATAAATGATTCTTTATTTTTGGTTTATGAATGGATTAAAAACTTTCTATTATTAATTTATTTATATGTAACTTATAAATTTTGATAAATAATTTTTTTCATATTATTTTAAACCAATTTTTTATATATTTAATTCCTATTTAATCTCTTGATATTAATTATTATAATGATGTGATACACATAGATGATGATGATATTTATTATTGAGTTATCTCTCTTCCAAAAAATGTTTTCAATTTCATGAAAGAATTAAATCTAAATATATTAATAGAACTTTATTTATTAGTTTGGTTATTTATCAAAAATTTGTGTCGAGATGTAATTTATGATTTAAAGTTATAAGTGGTTTGGATTCATAATGTAGGCCTATCATACAGTCCCATAACCAATGATTTTGTAAGTATTTAATTACTATCATTTTGCTTCAAGTATTAAGAAAATAAAAGATATGGGAGATTTTCTCAACATTTTATAGTTTGCTGAGGTGTTGTGCTTAGGAGAGACTTTACTCAACTTTATATATAGATAGATATGTTAGTGCAAATACTTTTGATACATTTGATAATAAGTCGAAATAAGCTCTGTGACATATAATATCTATCTTATTAAAGTTGAAGTACTTTTAGGTATATTTGGAAACATGGATAACAATTTACAAAAAAGAGAATATTGTTTGGAAACAAAAATAGTAGTGTTCTTTCACTAATGTCTTTTTATTAATTTCATTAACATAAGGCCCAAAACATTTTAATTGGATATACAAATTTGTGTAGAAAATCCATAAATCTACAATTAAATCAATAGTTAGGCAATGTGTGTGATTAAACTGATTTATTTTTAAAAAATAATCATTAACGTAAATATGTAATATATATTGACATGTATACATATTTATCAGGTTGTTATATTAAATATATTTTACATTAACTATTTTCAAGATGCTTCCTATTAATTTAAATATGATATATACAAACATAATAATTGTGGTAATTTAGACAACCATATTAATATGTTCAGTGGCGGATCCTGAAATAATTTTAACTGAGGCAAAAATATTTAAGTTAAATTATTTTTTTTTAAATATTTTTTTAAAATATAAATAAAGTATAAATTTTATATCATGTATATATATATATGTGTGTGTGTTTAAATTTATTTTTATGAAACGAATAATAACATATTTTACAAAAAATAATCATAGCTAATTTATTTAATTTTCTTAATTACATAATACATTTGTGAAAATATATATATTACATATGTGATGACTTATTGAATTATTTTATATACTTTTTAGAAAGATGTTACCGTGTTAACTTTTAATAATTAATTGGTTGACAACAAAAAAAGAGTATTTAAATTTATCTAAAAGGTTTGGAATTAAACCTTCTAAACCTTGCATACCAATGTTAGGAAAGAAAGTGTTAGAATAGGTAAGTCAAGGAAAGAGTCTTAGAATAGGCAAGTTTGATATGCTAATATCATGCGTGCTAATATTTATTAATTAAAAAGTTTTAACTCTTTAGTTAATAGAACTATGTTATCAGAAAAAAGAAAGTAAATATATTTGCCAATTGCCTATTAATTGTGTACTAGATTTTGACCCGCGCTTAAAAAGCGCGGGTTTATTTTTGAAATAAAATAAATTCTTCTAAATGAATTTTTATATAAGATAATGTATATGTTATACATTTTCCAGGTAAACCGAACCGTATCAACACTGAAAAAAAAAACAAAAATTAAACCGAATTTCATAAATAATCGATCATATCATATATTTTCTGGAACCAAAAAATAGAAACCGAACCGAGAACCAAATGGGTATTTAAAATTTTTAAAATATAAATTATATACCTACAAATATTAATTATATATAATATTTAAATACTAAATATCCTGAAATATTATTTAAACCAAATTAGGCAAAAAATAAATTACCCGAATATTTTCTATTCAAACTATCTGATATTTAAATTGTAGGATAGTTTACATTTAAAATTAAATAAAAACGTATCATATGCATAGTTAGAATTTGTAAAATAAATAAACATCTATAATATTAAAATCTCCAACTCATTTAGACCCATTTTATTTTTATATATACAATTAATCATTTAATTCATGAATAAAAATGTAATATCAAATTTTAATTTTTGATTGCATGTAATTAACTAAATCAATGTTTCGTAGTTGAATATTAGACACTAAAGCTTTTTAACTTCCAATTTATGTAAAAATATTAAATATATTAAAGTATATAGAGATTTATTGTTAGAGTAATTATGTAGTAGATTATGGAAAGTAATAAATGAGTTCACTTAAATTATAAAGTATTTATATAGTTAGAGAAATAGTATCTATATACAGTAAAACCTCTATAAATTAATAATGTTGGGACTTTGAAATTTTATTAATTTATAGAG